TCTCAAATCTTAGGGCCATTCCCTTCCTTCCATTCTAATTAAACAGGTTAACCCATTTCAGCTTCCATTTCTCATAGTCATATCTTGATTAAACTCTTCTATGGCTTGTGGTCCAGACAACATTCACAGTCTTAGAAAATTGTACTCCAGAACTCTCTTCAATTTTCTCTAAACAATTTAATAAGTGCTTGACTGAATCTTTTTTCCTGCCTGCTGGAAAATGGCATCTGTTGTTCTAATTTTTAAAAACTCTGGTAAACATACTGACCCCTCCGATTATTGTCCAATCAGTCTTCTTTCTGTTACTAGCAAGGTCTTTGAGCCTTTGATAAACAAATTTCTCACATTCTATCTTGAGTCAAATAACTTGCTGCCAGACAAATAACTATTGCAGTACTGTCGACATTCCTATACTGATGAATGGCAACCGTCTCACTGATTCCACTTCTTTATGTCTTCTTAGATTATCATTTACTACTGACTTTTCATGGAAACCATATATGCAATTGATTGCTGAATTAGCATCTGCTAAGGTTGCTTCTTTTTATCGTGCTAACCATTTTCTCTCTCCTGATTCCATTCAATCTACAAATCTCTTATTCACCCCTGTATGGAATACTGTTATCATATTTGGGCTGGTTCTTCTTATGGTGCTCTTTCTCTTCAAGATAAGGTTTAAAATTGCATTGTAAACAGAGTAAGACCCGATCTATCTGCTAAGCTTGAGCCTCTTTCCCATCATCGAAAAGTTGCATCTCTTTCTCTTTTCTACAATTACTATCATGGTTGCTGCTCAAAGGTGCTTTCTAGTTCCATCAACCAAAACTCATTCTCGCTTGAGTTGTCATTCATCAAAGTCTTATTCTTCGACTGTATCTGTCTCTTCATGCTCTAAAAACTTTTATTTGTCTAGCTTATTTCCACACACTTCAACACTTTGGAACTCTGTTCCATCTTCATGTTTTCCTGACTCATACAACCTTCAACTTTTTAAGTGTTCTGACAACCACTTTATTGCTCTATAACTCTACTCTTTTTTTCTAGCAACTCCCAACTTGATAGTGGTTGCTTGAAGTCTTATTAGGAGTAAAAAAGAATTAAAAAATATATAGATAACAATGCTTAAACAGGTTACTTTTAAAGCTTTTGCCTGTAAACAAAGTCAAAATAAAAATTTATCCAAAAAATTCTAAGTAATGCACAAAGTTTAGTTTATTTATTATTTAATTATTATAATAATGCAGGATAAAAATATTAAAATGCCATCAGTTTAAAAATTGGTAAAAAAGGCTGATGCCGATACCAATTCTGATTGTGCAAAAAGTGGCTGATTAAGCAGATACAGATGCCAATTAATTGATACATCACTAACATATTTAAGAACCGGTATCACTCCTTTGATAAGACTTCTGTATGAGAAACACACACACACACACTTTGCCCTTCTTAAAAAATTTAATCAATACCCATTTTTTGGTTAGTAAGTAAATTGCGGATTGTATATATTTGGATTGTCTCATCCTTAAGTTTTTATTTCTTTTTTTATATTTTTGTAAAAAAAAAAAAAGAAAAAAACTAAATTATGCTCAACAAAATGTAATATGTATATTTAAAGAAAACTTTAAAAAATTTTTTAACAAGACGTTAAAAAAACAAGTTTTAGTCTAAACTAAATTATACAGTGTTCTATATAAAAGTATAAACATAAAATTTATACTTTTATATAGAACAATGTATAACTTTTCAAATTAAAAAAATCACAATTTTAAAAATGAAATATGAATTTCTTTGAAATTGAAACATTTTGTAACATAATTGCTTATGTTTAATTGTTAGCTCAAAATTCTTATAACATTCATAAATTTTTAGTTTGGTTTTTTTAATGAATTTTTTTTTTTAATGAGTTTAAAATGTTTTTTTTTTATATTTAAAAACCACAACATAAAATTTAATAAATGCTATAAGAATTTTGAGCTGGTTGTTAAACAAATACAACTATGTCAAGTAAAAAAACTTTAAACTTTGTTTAATCAAAAGTTTAGTTATTTAACTTTAGTATTTATATATTGTATACTTATATATATATATATATATATATATATATATATATATATATATATATATATATATATATATATATATATATATATATATATATATGCGGCAGTGGTGATATATATATATATATATATATATATATATATATATATATATATATATATATATATATATACAGATATATATATATATATATATATATGCGGCAGTGGTGTAGTGGTAAGAGCGCTCGCTTTGTAAGCGAGAGGTTCGGAGTTCGACTCCCACCACGTCCCTGGAAGTACCGCGCTCAACTTAGTTTCTCCGCGCAGCGGCCTTGCTTGTCAAGGTTCGTGTTTCGGAGTTAAAGAGTTGAGAGAGGGTTGTACCACGAAATACAACAAAAAAATAAAAAACACAAAAAAATGAGTAGCCTCCTCGACTGTAGTGGCCCCCTCGGGCCTTGGGGAGGTGAATAATGTAAAAAAAAAAAAAAAAAAAAAAAAAAAATATATATATATTTATATTTATATATATTAATAATACTTTTTATCTAAAACTTTTATTAAATTATATAATACATTTTATTTATATTTATTATATCATACTTCTTTGTGACATCATGTAAAAATAAAATGTTATTAAAAAATAAAATCCAATTGCATATTATTGCAAAGCAATGAGCCAATGAAAAACTGTAACATGTTTATGAAAGGTGTTGATTGTGCCTGTCAATATTTGTAGTATTACTCAATGCTGCCTCGTAACAAGAACTTTTATACATAATGTTATAAGAGAATAGTTATAAAAAATATGATTATTTCTGTACCAAGTACATAAGGTAACTTGATGTAGAAATGGTCCTCCAGGAAGATTGAAAAAATTTTTTTGTTTATTTTTAATTATGTGATATATAACTTTATATATATGTTTATTTAAATAAAAAAACATGACTTTTTCCTTTTTTTTTTTCTTTAACCTTTCTTTTTATCTTTTCTTTAATCATTCTTTAAACTTTTATTATTTTTTTTTTTCACCTGCTATGCAATACAGTTGCACTTTTTACATTTTATTAGTAATTTTAATAATTTACTGTTGTTATAATTCATATAATTATATACACTGAAATATTAAAAAAATTAAAAGAACTTACCTAAAATCATTATTATCATCCTCACATATAGAATTTCACATATGAATTTTTTTTTGTTAAGAACTGATTGTAAATTGCTTTGTTTATTCTATGAATATGTTGCTTATTGTTGTTATATAATGTTGGTTGTTTATTTTCACTGTTATTTAAGTGTTAATGTTAAATAAGAAAATTGATACATAAAGTCTAACAAATTAATAAGTTTCTTTCAACTTTCAGCTTTAAAATGTTTACAAAATAAAGTCTAACAGATCGAGTCAAGATATTTGACATAATATCCTAGCTTCAATGATTTAATGCAGCCATGGCGCAGTGGTTAGAGTTCTGGCTCAGAACCCAGAGGTCTGAGGATCGACGCCAGCTCTAGCCCAACAAGCGACATTGGTACAGAAGGCGGCGTGAGCTTCCTGTTAAATGCTCACCCGCGGTACTCTATGATAAGACCGTAAGGACTTCTGGGATCAGTTAAATACATACAAAAAAAAAAAAAAAAAAATGATCTACTGTACAGGTTCTCTTCTGCTAGTATATATAAATTCATAAATATATATTTTTCATTAGATAAATTGAATGTAATTTTAAATGTAATTTTTATATTGTAAAAAGGTATAAATTGGTCAGCCAAATCAAAACAATGATTTAATTTACCTATTTTGGAGTTAATAAAACTCTTCGTGCAATTTCTAGAATGAAAATTATACTTAGGTTTATGCTTTAACATTATTTTTGTTTATTTTCAAAATAGCGTTAGCATCTTTTATTTATTTATTTACTTTAATATGATAATTTTGCTCATTAAGTATTGCTGTGTTTGATAAGCTACTTTAAAGCAAAACTATGTCAGCAAATACTTTTAAGAAAACTTATTGTATCCATATATAAAATCAATGGTCTGTTTATCATTTTCAACTATTTGAAACTTTTTAAATCATTTAAAACCTTAAACAAAATAAAGAAAAGCTAAAAAAGGTTTTTTGAGTTAATCTAGTGTTTATACTTTATCTATGTCATTTATTTAATTCTACTCTAAATAAATTTATTTTTTTGATTCATGCATATGCATGAATGCATATGCAAAAAAAAAATTACATCAATTTAAACAAAAGTTTTTATTCAACTATAAATATATAGTTTCAAAGATTCTAAAGATGTAAATTATACCACTTGAGCTGTGGTCGTTAATTTAAACATTTAATAGTAAACTTATTACATCAGATTTGCTTGTAGTTGGTAAAGAAATAAATTTTAATTATTTTATAATTTTAACAGTTCTTGAAAATAAAGTCAGTGATCTTTAAGAGGACCTTTCATATAAGATCTTAAAAACAACTGTCAAGTCAATTCTCCTAATTTGCTGCTGTTATGGTTTTTCTTGCTTTTTTACAAGTATGTATGTATGTATCTATGTGTGTGTGTGTATGTATTTATCAGGGGCTATTCTAGACCGTTTTTAATAGCGTCAACCTTTTGAGGATCTTTTTTTTTTTTTACAATTTTTATATAGCAAATATTTTTTTTTTTGGAAAAAAAAATCTGATTTTTTGCTAAAGTTTGCCAGAACGAGTGGGTCACGCCGACCAAATTTTTTTCCTAGAATAGGCCCTGTGTTTGTATATACTTGTGTATGTAAATATGTATGTATGTACAAATGTATGTACTTTTGTACATACATACATACATACATACATACATACATACATACATACATACATACATACATACATACATACATACATACATACAAAATATATATATATATATACATGTATTTATGTACGTATGTATGTATTTATGCGTGTATGTATTTTACCTTGTCTTTTCAGATCTTCCTCTTCTTTTTGTTTAAGCATAGCATCCACTTGAAGTGCATCAGAATCTTTAAAAAATAATTAGAAAACTATTTCATACACATTATCAAAAATTAAAACTAACAATACTCTAGTATCAGAACTAAATATGATCATATTTATAAAAATGTCATACCTTTCAGATGCTTATCATCAGCAATGAGAAACTCCTCTAGCCAATCATTTGTGGGTATATTGCATAAATCAACCTCAATCTCTTCAAAGGTTATATCTGAATTTGGCACTGGCCGATTCTTTATAAATAGATCAAATTTATGCATAGAAAAAAACTCCCCATGAACCATCTTAAAAAGAAACAAGACATCAGACTTCGGTATTGCACCTTTCCGTTGACGATCAAGCATAGCAAACTCCCATTGTAAGTCACGAGCAAGATAATACCTTTACGCAAAAATGAAATTAAAAATTAATCAATATATCTCTCGTCACACTCAGTATGAAACAGTAAAGTCGCTTGTATCAACAGGATGTGTGTGTCAAAAAATATATATATTCCTCTTTTTAGATATTAAAATTACTTTAGGGTGTTTTCTACTAAACATTAAAAAAAATATAGGGCATAAAAGAAATAATTTATTTATCTAAGCAGCACTTTTATTATATATGCTTTTATTATATATTATATATACTGTGGCTAAGAGTGCAGTAGCAGTGCGCAGTAGTACATGTTAGTAGTATAGCATTTGATTTGTGAGCAAATAGTAAGGAGTTCAAAACCACAACATTTCTGGAAATGCTGTGCATAAAATATTTTAAAGTTATGGAGTTAAGAAAGGCATAATAAAACAATAATAGGAAAACAATAAAAAAACATAATAGACATCAAAAAGTTACATACTAACAATGAACAAAAGTATTATTAATATTAGTTTTATTTTAGTAGTATAATAGTAGTACTATTATACTACTAAAATAAAATTAATATTTCATATTTACTATATATTTATATTTATTACTTATAGGTCATTCCATGCCAAGTGGTGCAAAGGTCCCTTATGGACCATCTCAGATTTTATTGAAATTTTTTGATTTTGTACATATATATGTGAAAAGCATGTTTTGAAAATTTTAGATCAATATATAAATGGTTCTTGAGAAAACGCTATTTAAGTAGTGGGCTATTTTGCATGAAATTTCATTCTACAAGAAAAAAGGTTTTTTTTGTCATTTTTATCAGCCAATAACTTTTGAACAATTTAGTTTTATGCTTCAGTTATTATTAGTTAGCAAGTGTACTGTGATACTTTAGGAAACGAAAAAAATTTTAATTCTGGCATGTTAACTTTTTTTGTAATGGCGGGCTAAAGTTGAGATTTTTGTTTTTTTTAAATAAATTTTTTTGTGATTTTAATGATCTTAATCTTAAAAACTAGTTAAAAGATTATTACAAATCAAATTACCTGCTGATCTACATGTGGTGGATAAACATTTTTTAAAAAATCAGTTAATTAAAGAGCTGCATTTAAAAGTTATAGGTCTCTAAAATGAGTCGGATCGAGATTTTCGTAAAATTGATCTGTGATGCAAAGCATCTGTTACCTAAGATGGCACTTTTATTTTTTCATAAAATTTTTTATACGCATCAATTAAAGAGTGTTAATTAATAAAAACCAAAAAAATTAATGGGCGCTTATTTATTACCCCCAAAAGGTAGCCTCTAAAAGTCAGGTAAATTTTCCATAAAATTCTGAAGTTAACATAATAAATATATGTATTGAATTATATAATGTTATCTATTATGAAATATCAATTTAAAAATATCAATGCTTATAGCCTTATAATCCCAATAGATAAAGTCCTTTTAAATCCCAATAGATAAAGTCCCCTCCCCCTCTGTCCCTCCCTGCTTTATAATACAAATTTTTTTTAATGAAAAACAAACAAAATGCTTTTAAGAAAATAAACAAAATTAATAAAATTTAAAAAAAGTTAAATTTCTCAAATAATAAAATAATCTCATTGATTTCTTTTAAGTCAATACTATAAAATCTTCCACTGTTTGACTGGAACTTAAGAGATTGTACTTTGCATAAAATATGCATCAGAGGTACCCAACAAAGATCATCTCTGCATGGCCACGTGAACTTGTTACATAAAGACTTTTTCATGAATTTGATATTAAGATCTTGATGCTCTTTTGAAATACAAAGAATATTTCCTAAATACCATTGAGCATTGTAAATGCAGGCCACATATTCTACTGGTGAGTAACTTGAAATTTTATTAATAAAAATTCTACAAGTAGAAAAATCCACATTAGTGCAAATACTATCAAATGAAACTCTTCTTATTTTTATTGAGGTAAGTGACATTGGGATAAAACTGTGGTGGTTTCGTGTCCCAGGTATTGTAGAACAAGAACGATATCTCTCTTCCAAATTGAAGTTTGTAATATGTGTTTCTATTGAAACTTTGTCAACAAAAAAAAAAGATATTCTTTTGACGTGTTGAACACACCAACTGTACATTTTGCTTGATGTGTCAATAGGATTGTTAGAAGTGACTGTAGACTGGCTCATGCAACAAGACGTTTCACTGTTCCACCAACACCATCACAAGGGCTTTTACCATGCAATGTTGCAAAAAAGTGCCACACTGCAGTCATGTCAAAATTGTGTTTATGGTAGCGTAGGTTGATAACATTTTTGTAATTTTTATATTGTGATGCAGCTCTATCACTAAAATAGATAACGTGTTGAAATGTTTGTAATTGTTTAAGTTTATCAATAACATTATCAATAAAGCAACGAACAGCACCTGTTTCATGTTTCAGATGATCTGATATAACACAATAACTTTGACTATCAAGTTTTCCATCTTTTATAAAATACGCAACAAAGGGGTGCACAGTTGCCTGGCTGTTATTCCAGTGAAAACCTTGTGTTGCATCCTGTATTAGAAAACTATAGTTTTCTGCAAAGTCAAGAGGAACTAAAGCTTGATTTTCTTTTAAATTAGTTTTCAAATGTTGGTAGGTGGCTTGACTTTTTGATATAAAATGATGCTCTCGTAAACTATCTAACTGTTCATAAATCATTTCAATAAATTCATCTAAAGGTAAAGTTGCTGGTGCTAAAGTACATTGGTAATTTGATTTTTGCCATTGATAAAAATTAACTTCACTAATTTCATTTTCTGTAAACAAAGTGTCAATGTAATCTAACAAAACCTTTTTAGCAGGATATTTATCGCAGCTATGCAGCATACAATCTCTATTTTCAATGCTACAAACCATTAATTTCAATAAGATTTTGTAATCAGCAATTGCAGGAATTTTCTGTATGAGGAGCTTTACATTTTGATGGTACTGGCAAACACAAACTGCATGCAGACCAGAAGCACCACCCACAGGAATGCACCACTTGGGCCTTAGCTCACAAAATTTTGAAAATCCAACATTAAGATAATTATATTTCTTTTTAAACTTAATATGTAGCTCTTTCATATTGACTAGTAGAAGTCGCTTTTGGATGTGTTGCTTTATACTATCTACTTTAACTGAAACAAACTCTTTCTTTCCTGGACAAACCCTTGAATATTCATCGCATTCATAGAAATGAACAACCTCTGTAATTACATCTTCGCTTAGTTTTCTACCCGGTTTTGGAGAAGGTTTTGATAGTATTCCACTTTTTTTTCTTAATTTTCTGGCTTGTACTACAGATCTTTTTGAACTTTAAACATCAATCTTAAAAATCAATTTTAAACTTTCCATATGCAACTCTATCTTTTTTTGAAACAAGTTTGAGAGGTGAGCATCCAAAACTTGCAATACTTGAATTAAGATCTTCTTTTAATGTATGGTTGTCAACATAAATTTATTTTTCTTGGAGTTCATTTTCTTTTGTATTATGTTTGCAATTCAGAACTTTTCTGCAACTAATGCAAACTTTTTGACTAGGTATTAAACCAAAATCTTTGGCATATGAAAGACTGATAACTCTAAGAGAATCTAAAAAGTAATGGTAATAATTATTAAATATTGTTTTTTTTATTTATTTAGTGTTATTAAAGTATTTGTATTAAATTAAGATATTAGTTTAAATATTGAAACTTATTTTTCACTTTTTTTGCGTGCTTGTTCAACGTATTACAAGAATACCTGCGATGTTCATTCTCATACTTTGACAAGTAAACTTTCTCGTGATAGCTACAAATAAAATCTATGGGATTTATTTTGCTTCTCAAAAAAATAAGCTCTCGGTTCAGTGTAGACAGTTCTTGGTAGCATTTACTTTTTTTAGACTTGTTAAACTTAATAAGATAGCACTGTTCATTTAATTCTTTACCAATAGAGCAAGTAGAAAGCTCAGGCATATTACTTATTATTAATTAGTTCTAAAATACAACAATTAATTTGGTTTTATTAGTACTTTTTAGATTGACATACTAGTAATATAGAATTAAATGAAACAATAATTTAACTTTTAAAAAGTAATAATTTTTTATGGAAAATTTACCTGACTTTTAGAGACTACTTTTTGTGGGTTATAAAAAAGTGCCCATTAATTTTTTCGGTTTTTATTAATTAACACTCTTTAATTGATGCGTATAAAAAATTTTATGAAAAAATAAAAGTGCCATCTTAGGTAAAAGATGCTTTGCATCACAGATCAATTTTACGAAAATCTCAATCCGACTCATTTTAGAGACCTATAACTTTTAAATGCAGCTCTTTAATCAACTGATTTTTTTAAAAATGTTTATCCACCACATGTAGATCAGCAGGTAATTTGATTTGTAATAATCTTTTAACTAGTTTTTAAGATTAAGATCATTAAAATCACAAAAAAATTTTTTTAAAAACAAAAATCTCAACTATGGAAAAAGCAAAGATGCCAGAATTAGTTTTTTTTTTTCTTTTTCTAAAGTATCTACAGCACACTTGCTATCTTATAATAACTGAAGTATAAAACTAAATTGTTCAAAAATTATTGGCTGTTAAAAATGATGAAAAAAACCGTTTTCTTGTAGAGTGAAATTTCGTGCTAAATAGCCCACTACTTAAATAGCATTTTATCAAGAACCATATTAGATATTGATCTAAAATTTTCAAAACATGCTTTTCACATGTATATGTACAAAAACAAAAAATTTCAATAAAATCTGAGATGGTCAATAAGGGACCTCATTAAAATTTGCACCACTTGGCACAAATTACCCAATTCTCTAAATGATTTGGGTGTTTTTATTGATGATGAGGGCCGCTATATTAAATGGAATTATAATAAAGCTTTGTTTGAATTACAAGAGCTTGAAGGTTTAAAATTTGCGAACAAACTTTCAAGAAAACATATTGAATTTCATGGCCACAAAATGAATGTCAAAATAGCTGGCCAAACCCTTAGTAGCTCTGTTGCTGATGCAATTGAATTTTTAAT